ACCCCAGAATCACGTCACACGGGAAACTATTTCAGCTGCTTCTCCACTCTAGCCACCAAACCCCTCTCTGGACACTGCTCCACAAGACCCTTCTCTAGCTCTGGGTGGCATTTGTTTCTTGCCCGGTTGCATCACATCTCATTTGCCTTCATGAAAATGGCATTTTTTTTACTAGGTAACAAAGGCTACCAAGCAGTTCAGCTTGCTTTCCACAGCAGCCCTGTCTTTCAGGTTATTTATAATTCTTCTAGCTTGTGTGTCGAGGACAAACGTTATCAGTCCCTGAAGATCTTGCTGTCTACACCATCCATGTGATTTGTTCACAAAAAGCTTTCTCTTCCCTCTGGCTCCCATCCAAAATATAAACATACCCAAAATAACACAACTGCTGAGACAGGCAGCAGGAAAACCAAAAGGACGGGGGGTGGAAGGGGCGGTTTAAGTACTACTTGGAAGTGATCGACAGTTGCTGTTTCGGAGTGCAAAAAAAGTCATTTATTTTGTTTTTAAAAGCTGAAATACATAAAGCTGAAACTACCGCACATGCTTTGCAGATGATCACTACCTTCTTCTACATCTTTTTCTATACCGAGCTCCCACAGCAAGTCTGCGCATCACTGTAAACACAGCAGGGAGGTGCTTTACATGTGGTCTGGGAAAAGTCTTCTCAGAAACTGAAACAGACTGCAGTGACAGACAGTTTCATGCTTCATGCTCTTCTGCCACACCAAGGAATGGCAAGAATTAGCCAAGACAAATAATTTTTCATTTTCTCTGGAAATACTCTTCCCATCATGCCAAAATACAAGTAAAAGTCTCCCCGTCCTTCAGCTGAGTTTGAATGATCCGAGCACTTTGTCTGCACTGACTCAGCCATGACCCCATAAAATAAAGATATCATTCCCTGTGGACAAAAAGCAATACCTGGAACTTCCTACTTGCTTAGACTGAGAATTCAGGTATCCCAGACAAAGTCTGGGACACCTCAAGGACAGCGCTCCCAAAGCTCCTCTGATATTCCATCAACAATATATTTTTGAAATGCCACAAAGCAATATGCACAAATGAAATTCCTGCAGCAAAAGCACTTAGGAGTCAAGGTGAATGTTTATTTCTAAATAAAACCAAAGTTAAATTCCTTTGCTAACCCTCCCCTACATGCCCACAGCCCTTACAAAACACAAACACGTTTCAGTGGTACAATGAATATCAGGACCAAGAACGAGGCAAACACTTTAGTATCTATGCCACAACTTCCACCACCACGTTACGCCTATTGCAACACACCACACACGTCAAAAGCACAGGGAAAGCTGACCAAGAATATCTTCTACCCTTTTGAGTGTGCTTATGTCTACGGGAATAAGGTGTGAAGTACAGCAAGAGACTCCCAGGAGGCATTAGGAAAATGAGGGAAGAGTGCGGAAAGAGAAGTTGTAAATGCAAGGGGGAAAACTCTTCCTTTTTCCTATCAAGGCTATTGCTATGTCCAAATATATTACTATGCTCTTTTCAAGAACAAAAGCACAAAGATCTGCCAGCGGCCAAGCAAGATACGTGTGTGTTCATGGCCCTATTCTATAAATGTTGCAAGGCAAAAATTTGGCATAAGGACCATTCGTTTGACAAAGGCCTGATTCCTCATGATGCTCACCATCCTCAGCTGAGCAGACTTTGCTCAGTGCATGCCCTTGCAAGCTCTGAGTGTGCTCATTCTCTTGAGATACCTGCAGTATTTTCCAAAGTGCAGACCGAGAGGAGGGAAATGTTATCAGGACAGTCTCTGGAGAATTAATAAGCTCCTTGGCCATATAAATCATGGGGTGAGGCGGAGATACTGGGTCCCAAGCCACACACTTTGAAGGTGTGCCCATAGCAAAGCAGTGAATTGCTTAAGGCACAGGGGAACATAAAAGAGGCAAAATTGGGGAGGAGAGACGGGCTGTGATTTGTGGTCCTCGGGAGCATCCTCAATTTAACTCACTGAAGAAGAGGTGCCAGTTTCTCCTGAAATCTCCATTCCCATTAAAGACCCAACTGTGGATGCAATTTGATTGCAAATAAAATTGACTTTTACCAGCATGATTTTCCTTTTTTTTCCTCCTCGTGGGAATAATCTATATCAGCACTGAATCTCCTTTATATTGCTCAAAGGACACATCGTGCTGCTCATGACCTGATAAAAGAGCTAACGCACATGCACAGGCCTTAAGGAGAATTTGAGGCTGAAAACGCCCAAATAGTGCACCTTGCTGAACAAATTGGCTATGATAGCCCTGAGACCTTCCAGACATGACTACGAGGAGCGTAAGGTCCGTTTCACGCAATGAAACGCCTTGCTCATCACTTGGGTGACGGAAAAGCACACATTTCCTAAAGAAGAGAGGTGATCTGTGTGCCCCGCTTACAGCCAATTTTGCCACGTTTTACAGGTAAGCCTGATGCCACAAAGAAGAGGTGAACTTCTCAGAGCTGACAGAAAACAGAAGTAGTAAAGAGAACCACATAAAAAATGGCTCTATGGGGGAAGCAAGGAAAAATAGGAGGTTTAAGACAATTAAAAGGCCCCGAAAAGCGGAGTATCTGGGCCAGTGGACATAGTGGTTTCCTCTACTTCAGGAAGAATTCATCATTGGGGTGAGGAAAGGAAGGTGCAGAGAAAACAGCAGCCAGCCAGCAGCCTGCTGTAGAGGGGTGCACCCTGCGATGTACAGGGCATGGGAGGTTTTTAAGAGACCCCACTCTACGTTTGGCAGCAACTAAGTCCCTAATTGAACAACATGAACTTTTACATGGACCCATCAGAAATTACAAGTTCCAGTCATGGACTAAAGACACTGACCCCAAAAGCTGTGGCTATTCGACTAAATCAAATGTGCTCAGGGTCATTTCTAGACCTGAGGCCAACTGGCTTGGAGTAACGCAGTCTGTGTAATCGAATGCTTGCCCTCCGAATGAGCTGCACGTTCAGGCTCCCAGGGACTCTGTAATCAAATCTGTTAAATATCGAGTTTATTTTAATACTCGCTAGCGTATTCCAGAGCCAAAATGAGCCAGATGTGATTTTGTGGCTACCATGCTTCAGGTCTTCATGCTTAATTCCTACACATTATATTCACCCTACCTCTGCTCTGTGAAGAAGGAACTCTTGGCTGTACGATTCACTTGTCCTCTCAATGACAAAGACAGTGGGATGGCAGTCCAACCACAAAACATATATGAAAAGAGACAGAACTCTGTTCTTTAGGGGAATAGACCCCCATTTCAACAGCACGTGCAGAATGAAGTCAGAGCTTGGACTATTTAACCAGAATTTTCTTGGGCTGTTAGCTTTAAAGTCTCAATCTGAGCTCTCCACTGTAATTAGACTGACCGTCCATGGATGTTAATGACCATTTAGGTCATCACCATGGTTTGACACAGGGTTCTACACAGCTAAATGCACAAATATCTGATAGTTTTAGCTAAAGAATTGGATCCTGTAACTATAATTGTTACTGCAACACTCTTGGGCTTCAGAAAGCAACAAATACTTGTCCTTGCAGGACAGCGAGCCTCTGTTGCCAACATAACAGAAAACTGTAATCTACAGCCAGGAAAACCGAAGCAAAGGTCAAATTCAATAGTTCCAGGGGCTGCAAGGATGCTTGAATCCTACCATGGCAAGGTCTGTGATGCAGATTCACACAGCTCAGCACCCTTTCATCCTCTCACCTAGATCAGCATCAAAGCCATTGGCATCATCAGGCCAGGAAAAAAAAAAACAAACAGAGGGTGTTTAGGGGCTGGCTGGAGCACATCTTCAGTGGCTCGTATTGTCCTTCCCTGCACAAAGGTGAGATGTCTATCCACATGCTGGGCGGCCATTGTTTCAAGGGGAAGCTCTGGGTGGGAGGTGGCTGCAGTTGGAGCCCCATGGTCATCTGTTCATGCGCTGCAGGATGGTGACACAGCCGTGATAACTGGTACAGCGCTGCAGCGGCGGCTGCTGCTCCACGCTCCCTGTTACCGGGTCGAATGTGAACGCTTTGTCCGTGCCTTCTCCGTTCTCATCTCGGCCACCCAGGATGTAAATCTTCCCTCCGCAAACTGTCAGGCCACAGCTCTCCTGGAAAGCAGAAGGAAAGCCCAAGAGATGAGGAGCAAGCCTCCAGCTTTAGGCAATGGGGCTGAGCAAGGGGTCGAGTCATTGCAATGGGCTCAACTCTCATCTGCCCAGCAGAAGGGAGGGAAAGCAGGTAGGATAAGTGACATCTGGCTCTTGGGGTGCTGCAATCTTACTGTTTCAGTAAGAGTTTAGGCACTTGAAATGCCTCTAGCTCATGATGGGACCATCGCCATTTCTGGAAGTCCCCCAGGCACAACACGGACTCACAAGCACACCAAGAGCCCCGAGAGCCAGCCAGCACATCCCTGGGAAAGCCACTTATAAGTCATGTCACACTGACATGGCATTTTGATTCCGATCAGGGAGAGCTGTGTCCCGTCATTCCTCTTCACCATGCCACGGCTCACATTGCAGCACGGCTTTGGAGTGCAGAACCGTGATGATGCTAAACCAAGACACATAATCACCACTAGTCTGTGTTCAGTCCACAGACCAGACTAGAGCCAGTATAACCCTCACCCTGAAACACATAGTGTGGAGAACAGGTCCTCAATACCAATGGCTTCACCCTACAGATCCACTTGTCTGGCATTAATAGCTAGTGTAGACGCAGTCTCAGCAAGAAAACTTGAGTTTGCTGTGGGAAAGACATCCTCCAAACATTATGGACACTGATGGTGAGTACATATTTTGAGTTGCTCTGCAGAGGTCACATTCACATACTCAGAGGCAAACCCACAATGTATTTTCTTTGCCTTCAATCTCAGCAAAGCACAGATGGCTACTGTTCTAGAGAGAGCGGGAAGGCTCAGAGCTCCTTTCCCAAACCTCTTCCTTACCAGAGGCCCAGGGAGGGTGGCCACTTCTCGCCAGCTGTCTTTCCTTGGATCATAGCTGAAGATTTTACTGAGGAGTCCACCTACAACATAAATGATGTTGTCCAAGCAGACGGCACTGATGCACCTCTGGTAAAAAGGGGTGGGAGACAAGAGCGACCACTTGTTCTCCTCTGGATCATAACACTGGACCTGGGAGGAGAAACACAGCTATGGCAACATGAGTTTACCACATCTCCCTGCTTGGATGAAGCTCCCATTCACTAGAAATAAAAACGCATGGGGACAGAAACACAGATGGGAGCTTCAACAAGCAGAGATCAGTGCAGTGAGCAAAGGGATGAGGGGTTCTAGCATTCCCTCTTGCATTCAAGTCTCCCTGACAGACTACAAGCCCGAGGGGTGGCTGTCCTTGACCCAGGCAGCACATGGTTAAGTGTTCATAGATGGAGCTGAGAAGCACTGATGGCTCTTCCTGCAGCTCAGGAGACCAGAAGCATCATGTCTGGCTTGCAGAGGTCTCCACCAGGCAGTTACTATTGTTGTTACTTATCCAAAGTGAATGCCTACAGTGTCAGAGATTTGTTCCTGTGGTGCCTCAGGGCTGACCAGGCTTCAGAGCAGAACAGGCTTTACTGAAACCATGCCTAATATACTGTCAGCTCCTGACACCTTCCCTCTCTGGTCCCTAAGTCTCATTGGCTTCCATTGAAATGTATGACTTCTCATCTTATTATAAGGGAGCCTTCAAAAAAAAAAAAAATGCACCCTTGTAGCTTAAGGACAACCCCATTTCCCTCCACATTCCCTGGAAAACCTTCTTTTGTAGGTGTCTGTCCACTCTTGATGCCCCAGCAATACCTTGTCAGTGTTAGCGGTGTCATCCACAGCACCGCCCAGCACGTAGAGCTTGTTCAGGCAGGAGACCACAGCCGCCGAGCTCACAGCCTGAGGCAGCGGGGCCAAGGTTGACCAGCTGTTGGAGAAGGTGTCATAGCACTCCACGCTAGAGAGGCGGTAAAAACCATCAAAACCTCCCACAGCGTAGATCTGCCGCAAAAGGAGCAAAGCAAGTTGATTAGAAACTCTTGGACTCACCTAATGGGCTACACTGTCATGAAGGGCGGCTAGGACTTGGCCAGGAAGACAGACATCAAACCACAGTAAAACCCTGGTGTTGGACTCGATGATCTTTAAAGGTTCCTTCCAACTTAAACAATTCTATGAAACACCCCACACTGTATAGCTTTCACCCAAAGACTTAACACAGCTATCCGCAGAAGTCTTGCACCGTTCCTTGGCAGATGTTATTGCTACAACTTCATTTGTGGATACTTCAGGCGATAACACACACCCGACTGAAACAATGATGTCTTGGTTATGTCCTAGCTGTTCTCCCATCAAAACCATCTCTAAATGACCCAGAAGAAAAACACACAGTGACAGCTTCTCATTGTACTGGGCAGCAGGACAAGTGGGGGACAGAGCTCCACGTGGCTTCTTCCAAAATTTGGGCCGTTGCTTACCTTGCCCTGAAGAGTTGCCATTTTATGCCTCCATCGGCCTTTCTGCAGACAAGCAACCTTGATCCAGACATTCAGCTGGGAGCTCAGCACCCAAACATCGTTGCTGCTTATGTGTCCTCCTGAAAAACAGAGGAATGGAGGGCTGGGGTGATCCCAAGGACAGCCCCACAACCTCACTACACCACAACATTGCGTAGATCGTCCATGCAATGGAACAACTTAGGTCAGAAGATGGTCATTGGGGTACGGCCATGTAAACTCAGCTTCCCAAGAGAGGTATCACCTGGACTTCAAGGTACTTGTTACACTGCTCCATCCCTTATATATAAACTCAACTGATAGGCTTTATATGTTAAGTGAGGGACAGGAGAAGGACTTGGG